ATTTTGGCCACTTGTGGCTGCTGTTCCGTTAGCAGTGACCAGAGCGAGGCAACTTTTCATTTTCAGCTCGTGTTGCGCTGTTTATTTTCAACGCAAACTGAACAATAAAAGTTCAGTTTATTTATGCAATGCGAAATTTTATGTGCTCGAAGCAAACTAATTTATGAGAATGTCTTCTTTTTAGCTCTCGCTGCGGCTAGCGTCGCCGACACTTTCTGGATATTTATGTCCGATTGTTTTGTTTATCTGCTCTTGTTTTTGCGGTTACAGACAATTGCGGCGCACATTAATTGGGCATTCGTTGCGGTTTATAAAATTTTAATTGGCCAACGCCTGCATTCGAATATACTTTTCTTATTCTCTTTGGTAAATGTCTCAGTGAAGCTAGAAAAAGTCTTTCAAAATTCCAATATAAATTGACCTGTTCATCTGTCGAAATGCACTTTAAAGTTGGTATTATGGGCCAGGCAAAGATATTGCTGTGAGATGCCAAGTGAGATGCATTTAAATGCAATTAATTATGGTTCGCATCTCTCAGTGGGCGACAGTTGGCGAGAATTATCAATAATCTAAAATAATCCCGTCTGACAGCAGCAGAAGACGTTCGCGTATTGCTTTTTGGCAGCCACTTAGAGCGTAGCCCGCGACCTGACACATTGTCTTGTGTATTGCTGTCTCGCTCTAACGACTGCTCTTCTTCAGTCGCACGGGACACAAATACACACACACGAACACAGAGCCACATGCATACATATACAAATGTATATGTTGGGCGAGGTGTAGTCATAATTAAGCAGCTTTTAGCCTTTGCCCCTCTCTGTTCTGTGTGCCCGCAGGTACCTAAGAGCATACACCTGCCTTTGACGAATCTGAGCGCATCGCGCGTGCTGATGTGCAACGCATCTGTGGGCAGCGAGGGTTCCGTAACACTGCAACTCAGAGATGCGAGCGCTTTGGAGACAGCCGCCAGCAGCACAACGACAGCAACAACAGCAACTGCAGCAACAGCAACCACTTCGTCATCAGGCCAGGCCAGCCAAGCGAATGCGTCGGGACTAACGTCGGCATTAGAGAATGCGTTGACTATCGGCTATCCGGATCCGGACATGTTAGCAGATGTCTTGGGCACCATACAGACGGCCTGTAAGTGAGTTTTGTATACACAATCTGCTTGTTGACTAAATGTCTATCTTATACTTGCAGCTCTTAAGAACAAACAAAGCAGCAATAGCAACAGCAACAGCAACAGCAGCAGCAACA